TCATACAGTGACGTTTGCCACACTCCTTAACCAATCTTTTCCACCTCACAAAGGGGGCTCCTCCCCCCCCCCACCCCGGATATTGGTGTGAGAATATCATCAAGATCACTTTCAATTTATAAGTGATGCTTCTTTCCTTGACGGGCGATCCTCGGAGCACCAGAGATGCAAAGGGGGCAGATTTTATTTGAGACACCAACCGAAAACGATCAAGCGACGTCTGTCAGGTGCGTGATGAAGCGGCGGGACATGAAGCTGCGTCGCCAGGAAGCTGTTGGCGCCGCCGAACAATTAGCATCTATGGGGGGGCCAGGAAGGGGGGGTCCGCTACGATGCCAGAGATGTAACGTGTTCATGTTAGAACTGAAAAGTAGCTAAATTGAACGCACACATATATACATACTTTTTCTTTCTTTAATTACATTTAGCTACCCAGCTGACACATTACGCCAAAGCAATTCACAGATTGGACAGGAGCATTTTTTTTCACTTACTGTTTTGCTTAAGCTATTTCAGCCGAAACACTGCCTTCCTTCTCCTAGGATTTGGGCCCTGCAGCCCTCGGGGCCGCATGGGGCCCACGTTCCGACTACGCGGCCAGCTAACGTCCGCATTAATCTGAATTAACAACTGTGTTCCCCCCCCCCCACCCCACTCTTTTAGAGTGATGTTTTCCCTTTGCAAAGAACCTTCTAGACAGCGAATGGAACGTGACACTGCAGCCATTGTTATGGAGCAGTGTCCTGGCGGTCCGGCCGGGAGGGTGGCCGCGGTCGATCGTTCGCGGCGAGCGGGCTGAACGCGAAATGGGGGTGGCTCCCTCTGCTTCCTGTTTCCGTTTTATGGCCCTCAGCAGCGTGAACACCACCATAACACCATGACATAAGCACAGAGGAAATTACCTCACTCCAGGGTATTTAAGGCCATGGGAGTATTGACATAATGGTGCCAAATCACTCCTCAAAAACACAACGCTGGCAATGAAAGTGATTTGTGTTAAGCCCCCGTTCCTTATTTAACAGTTCGGCCGCCAACCATGCATGATGGACCCTGTCAGTCAGGCTACAGACCTGCATAAGTACGACAAGCATCGCTTGTAACAAGGCTGGTAGCCCTCGCCAGGACGTCCGCGGAGCTTTTGACGTGAAAAGCCTCGGTACATATCACAGGCTTCTCATTAAAATGTCAGTCCCCTGTCAGTTCCTTCACCGCCCACAGAACCTGACTGGCAAACAGACTTTAAACAACAAAAAAACAGCCACGATGGAGAGGTCACTGCCAGCACGTCCGCTAGAAAAGCACAATACCGTGGTGAGGATGGGCATCCAGAGAGGCAGAACGATCCATTTGTAGTGAGGCTTCTGGAGATCAGATCAGCGCCCCTATCAGCCAGGCACCTAGCCAGGTAGTAAAATTATGGGTTTTAACTCCCCCTGAAATTCGTTCCAGCCCCCCGGTCTGCAAAAACTACCAAAGGGACCATTCGGTGGGGTCACCCAACCCCTCCCAAAATTCACTTTGAGCTACAGGCCTGCAATCATCTACAAACACTAGTGAGGATCAAACTGATATTTTTGGCCAGCGAAGCTCTCATTTAGACCTGTGAACATCTGACCACAATTTGTGCTATTTATGTGTAACATTCAGCATCATAAATGCATGTAATCCACACAGTGTCGTACAGACAAGTATACATAGAGAAAGAAACCGATTCTTTGCAAACCGCTCTTTGACCACTGGGGAAAACTCACAGGCGTCCCCAGATTTGCGCCGGTTCATTTCGTTCATTCAAACTCGTATTGTTATTCAAACGATCATTAAAGGCGCTGCCTGCCTGCCTGCCCGCCGTCCCGCGTGCCTCCAGCATTACCGAGCCTTTTACTCCCGTATAATAAAACACCCCCAACAAACAGCATGTGACCTTTTCATGCAAATTCCTAAATGTGGCCAGAATGATAATAATGGCATATAACAGCCCCTATAATAGGGGATCTGGGGGTGCAGGAGTCACAAAAAAAAAAAAAGTTTTACAGATTTATTGCCACCTTTTCCGGCCTTGTTTTGTAGGCTATGAGTCTCCAGTGAAATACAGCCCAGAATGACGAACCCGTTGGCTGCTCGCCTGAGTCTTTGCAGCGACACACACACACACACACACACACACACAGGTGTATAATTATATCTTTGTGGGGACTCTCTATTCATTAAAACCCTAATCCCAACATGACGACCTTAACCCCTACCCAGCTCTATCCTTAACCATAAGTAACCAAACAAAATACAAGACTTTTGGCATTTTAAGTTTTTTTGATTTCAGTCACAGATTTTTATAAAATTTAATTTACCCTTGTAGAGACTGAAAAAATGGTCCCCACAATGTCAAAATAACACGTGTTTATCACATTGTCAGGACATTTGGTCCCCACAATGTAATGTATACCTGGACCACACATACGCACACACACACACACACAATCGCACGTCACCACACAGTAATCAGACAACACACTGGGATACACAAATGGATGCCGTAGCAACAGGGCTATGTCAGTGTTCCGTACCGAAGCCACAGTCTCTATACTGGGCACGTTGTAAACAGAACAGGAATACGTTCTGCTATTTACTGCTTGCTGGATTAAAACCTACACAGGCAGCATCAACAGAGGGAAGGATCTATACCCCTATTCTCAAGACCCCACAAAATGCTCTGAATTAGGAAAGTGAGGCACTGTGAAGCATGTGACCCGGATATTTATAAATAAATATTTTTTAGAAATACTTATACTGCATGACACAGATAAAAAATAACAATAATTCAATGAATGAATATTAAATGAATATTAAAGTTAACTTTTTTGTGGTAATTCAGCACAACTAAGGATTCCATCTTTTAGATTTTTTTTTTATGACAAAAATATTTTAACTTCACTGACTGTGTGTGTTGCTTTCTCAGAAAATGTGGATATATTTTATCGGGTCTCGATCTGTCCTCTACACTGTTGGGTCAGTGAGACTCTGGCCCTAACAGCTCCCACCTCCCCCACCTCCCCCCTCCCTTGTATGGCACAGGGCTAAAAATGGCTTCTTTACTGCTGCCTCTGATCATCCCATGTTCATCTAGGACACTAAACGAACATCCTTTTCACCCCCCCCCCCCCTCCCGTTTTACACACCTGTAGGCTTAATGCTCGTCACCTAGGGCTGGTTCATCTACCTTGAAGGACCAGAATGTGAGGAAGTACGGAACCATTATCAGATACCTTTATACAATCACTGATTTGCCCCAGTTCACTTCCTGAGACAACCTTGAACTTTGATTTCAGCATGTTTCATAAAAAGTTTATCTTCTACAAGCCCTAACCTTAGTCTTGATCCCATTAATATAAAACACAAGTCTAAACCCTGACTCCAGCCTTGGATTATGAAACTTTGCGTCTGCGAGCCCAGAAAGTGGGCACTGAACTCATCACAGATGGATAACATTTGTTAAGAAACCCTTAGTTATCTGAGAAAATCCAGTAAATAATTTAGCACTTAGCTAAAAGGACTCACTCTCATTGTAATCACATGTCTGTGATTACAGATTAGGCAATTCTACCTGCTAAATTGCTATGCTAACAGCCCTTTAGCACCAATATAGGAAAGCACATTTTGCATGTAATTTGGAAGAAATAGTAGATAATTGCATGATAACTGTATAACACTGTAAAATGGGATATTCCTGTCACGTAGGCCAGGACAGTAAAAACAAATTAGGCTTTATAAAAGTTCCCTTCTTTATATCTGTTCTTCAGTACGGATTTTTGTTTTAGGTCCTAAAAAGTGATTTTTTTACACACTAAAAATCATAATTCACATTCACTGTGGGAGTTCAGGTTTAAACAACATGGCGGTAGGCTGGACCATTAGCAAAGTACAGACCTCCTGTCATTTTCGAAGCATCTCCTCATGTTGACATGCTATCAACCGGATCTCCCAGTCAGGCGGACAGGGTGGACAGCCCAGCCTCTGGTCTTCGGAAGGGGGGCGGGGGGCAGCACAGCAAGGCTCAGTGGCTCAAGGTGAGTTCCACTTTTCCCCCCGGCCGCCATGCCTGGTATGGGCCATGTTAGGTTCACGCAGACACCCCCCAATGGAAACGTGTGAAAATATTCCATTTCTACTTTCATCGGCGTCAAACAGATCAAGTTCATGTAAAAGCACCATAAATGTAATCTGGCAAAACCTGCCATTCAAAAACTTCTTATTACTGTCTTTCATTCTGACTATTGCATTGTCTGTCTATCTATCTATCTATCTGTCTGTCTGTCTGTCTGTCTGTCTGTCTGTCTGTCTGTCTGTCTCTCTCTCGCTCTGTGTGTGTGTGTGTGTGTGTGTGATTAAATGTATATTTACCTATCTCTTGTGTTCATGTCTATTTCCCATTTCTGGAAGGGCTACGGAATCTGCAGGCTCCAGCCCCTAATCATTTTGTGAAGCCGTCGACTGTCCGACGGCAATAAAAAAATAACGAGCCTATGTCCGTAACCAGCCTATACTGTCTTTAACACACACATCACCAGACTGATTTCATTTTGCTGCCGACAGAAAGTTGACTCAAGGCAGGAGGAGGAAGTGAGCGAACTCTCACCAGACAGCCGCTCCCCGTAAACTCAGCTCACCATGCGCTTTACTGCCCTGAACACAGTTGGTGTTGAAGCTCCAGGTTTTACTGCGTGGTTATGCTCCAAAGCTTGAATTTTATTTTATTTATCTCTGGAGTATGTCTAAAAATACACCCGAAGGTGGAAAAAAACTAAAAAAAAAGGTCAAGGAGATTGGGCTACCCTGCAAGATCCTAGATCAAATGTTTAATGGTAAAATTAAAAATATAATAATAATAATAATAATAGTAACAACATATTTTAGAATGAAAAAAGTCTTTAAATAATGTTCTGTGCATGTAACTAATGTAATATTGGAAATGCCAGTGCAGTCTGAACAATATTACTGACAGAAAGTTCAAGCCAAATGTAATCTTTATTAGCCTGTTTCTGTACAAAAACCACGGGGACACCGGAAAGCATGCACCTATTTACAGCATGTTCATGGACTGAAAAGAAAAGTAGAATACATTGTAACTTTTTTTCTCAGTTTTTGTTTGCAAAGAAATTATTTAAATATTGTGCTTTTATATAATTTGATTATTATATAATATTTTGTAATTCTATAACAACGCCATCTTTCAGTTTCTCGTTGGACCAAACATGGACAAAATGACACTGTGTACTTCCCGAAAAACCACAGAGGTTTGGGGTAACTTTACAACTGCCCAGAAAACTAGCCTTTGAGGAAAAAACTCAGCAAGCCTCATGGAAAGAAAGGGCACCAGAGATGAGTACGAACGGGAGACTTGACAAGTCAGCCAAGATCTGACTCGAAGAAATGTTTTCATTGTAAATGGCTTCGGAGAGCCGTGATATTGAATACAGCTGTCTTTGTGGGATGTTTAAGGGGGCACTACAAAAGAGGAAAGTACTACAAAGAGGATTTCATTACCTCTCATACATAAATTTAATCGTGTGTTTTTCAGTACTTTGTAAGACAGGATTGCTATTGTGTGACCGTGTACAAAACTGTGAGCTCCTGCCTAGACTTTATCAAATTTATGCGACTCCCGTCCCTTTGATAAAGTTCAGGACCAAACCGAAGTCCACTTCTGAGCTTTCTGGTAATAACTATTTACAAACCTGCAGCTACCCAATGAATTATTATACACTGTAAATTTAAAACACACTAACATAAACAAAACTAATAGTAAAAAAACTATACTAATGTTACATTTGTATGATTGTATATGTTCTGGAGAAAATAAACCGAAAGTTATCACATTCTAAGCAGTTGCATTTTGTGCTAAAACCCAGGATGAAAACCTCCTGTAATTTAAATAAACAACTGACCCAAATCCAATCAGCTGTAAAATAGCGTAAAACAGGTACTTATTACCGTATTATCCCAATGATGCATTTCAGCTTTATCTTTCAGATCATACATTAGTAAGTTTGATTGCACGCTCACTTGTTGCCATACAGAATAATGGAACTTACATGGATCCCTTCAGCCAAATCAGAGTAACAGTACAACGATCAATATGATAACTTGTTAAAACTGAAGTATTTCTCATTTCATTCTCTATGCTGACATCGGTCAACACGGGTTTAACATGGGTTTTACCATAGAATAATCCCAGCCTTCGTGTCGTTTACCCTGCAACCCAGTAGGGTTCAAATTGATGGTTGTTGTTCTCATTAAAGGGAACATAATGGCTATTCACACTTTGGGAGTTAATTCACATAACAACCAGTCGCACAACATCAAGACTTTGAAAACAACATATTAATTACGACGTGCCACACACACGGAGACCCACAGACAGGCACACGGTACAGAATGTGCACAGAATCGCAGGGTTTAGATGTACTTATGAAACACGATTAGTTTCCTATAATATGTGTGTGCTCTGCTCCAAATATGAATATTCCCTTTTGTATGTATAAAAAAACTACAAAGACTTCCCTTTAGCAATTGCTAGATTTTTTTTGTCTTTGCCACGGTGCAAAAATCCCAAATCGTTTTGTCAGTTTTGAGAACTTCAGAAATGCAAAAGATGCAACGTACCGTATGGGAGTATGGTGTATTGTAAGGCATCGATTTATATATGTATATATTGTAATTTTATTTTATTTTACAACTATTCCACTGCATCAGTGTGGAGTGACAGTTGCTTGCATTACAGTAATACAAATTGCATAAGTAAATGATACAGAACTGTGTGCAACGACAACATCAACATCAACAACAACAATCACATCGATGGGAATCTCAGTTGGTTTGAAGGGACACTCAACTTTTGCCTCCGCAAAGCCCCCGCCATCAAAAGTGGATCCGGGACTGTGTTTTTTTTTTTTCCAAACCAATAATAGCAGTTATTATCAATACAAGCATGTGAATTACATTTATATACAACAAACACAATGTATAAAGTTTTAGCACAGATTACACTTAAAATGGAAAAAAAGCTTCACCAAACACTACAATCGCATTAATGTATATGTCTAGTATGTATGAGACTTAAATGAACAGAGGATTGTAATGAACTAACTTTAGAAATATAGAAATTTCCATGATAAAAGTTGAGTCTCCCTTTTAATTAGAATGACAGGAAAAAAAGGAGAATTACTTCCAAAAAGGTTAAAAAACATATCGGTGCATATTCGTACTAGACTTCTTTTTTATGTTTTTTTTCTTTCTTTTTTGCCTGCTAAGATGCATTTCTCCTGTAGGTGCCTCACCTAAAATAGTGCATTAAGAGATAACTATGAGTACGCACCCCTCACAATAATACACAGAAGACGGGGAGAAAAGCAAGGGGGCGGGGCAACGACTGTATACAAAAAAAGTTAAATATAGTATTGCAAAGCATTTTATACAAAAGTGGTGGAGTGTAGATCCTGCTTTAAAAAACAGGATGATCTGATCACGCTTGAGACATTTTTTTTTTTTTTTTACAAAATCGTCATTTCTCGTGTTTTCTTTTTCTTATTTTTTTTTACAATATCTAAAAGGTTTTAAGACATCAAATGTGTTTACATGTATATTTCGCACTATTATTTAGGCCTAAATCACCAAAGAAATTCCAAAACATACCTTATAAATGCATACAAAAACACACAATAAGAAGTTGAACGATAATTCTGGTAGCTAAAGGTGGTTTCAAATTGTAGCGATGCATTCCCAGTTTTTAATCTACAAATGGACAAACCTGGAAGGATACCTAGTGGGACGGTTTCGTCTTGGAAGTATTTCACTTGCTAACGCTATTGGTCCCAAAGACTTGGGGTTGCCCTGTCATCATTCATCTCCCACCGGGTTCAACTAGGACTTCTGTATGATGTGAGAATATGAATGACTTTTTAGAAGATATAAACGATCAGTTCTTCCAGAGATAATAACATACTTGAAAAAAAGTGTGATTTTTTTTTTGCTGGTTTCAGTCTGTCCTCACTGTGATGGACTTAACCAGACCTCTGTGCCAACATTATCCAGGTGTTTTATTAGACTGTGACATACCATTTGAATGGACTGAGGAAGAAAGGGGTCAGGGTGTTGAGGGGACGTATTGGGACACTCACCCCCTTAATGTGCCTACAATGCACTAGGGTCTGGAACTTGCCTATGCCCTCCGTAAAATGTTTCACATGTATTCAGCAGTTAGGTTTAGACCTTAGCAAGCTTTCTGGCTTACTTAGAGTGACTGGATAATTCACTGTGGAGTAGAAGGCTACGAGCTGTTCTCCGAAAGCAACTATGGGTCGAGCAGGGGAACTCAGCCAGCTAAAACCATAAAACGCTAATGAGAGGGAAGTCCGATAACCCACTCTGAGTGTGGAAGTGACCATCAGGCCGGCCTGCATGACAATGTCCCCTTACGCTTATTTCTGCGGCTCCTGTCCAATATATGAAAAGAGGACTGATCATGTTATTATGAAACGTTATACATCCTTCGGTTTCTCACTGGGCAAAAAATGTACATTTCCTGCATTACATTGTATTTTGTTTCTTAAATAAAGAGGATGGAGTGTTCACCAGTAAGCTGACTGTGCTCAATTTCAGAAACATTGGCCTCACTTTTAGCAGATTTTCCCACAATCCCCCTCTCCCAGTTAAACATGGGCGTGCACAAAGACGCGGGCCGCCAGTGCATTTGGTGGAAGGACACGGCGGAGGCAGAAATGTGGGATAGGAAGACGTAAGCGAGGCTAGTCTGGCAGGGCACAGCTGGTCGGGGGGGCTGGGTGCTCCACCGCAGGATAGCTGTACTCCGGGGGGGGGGAGCAGGGGGAGCGATGCGGGGGTGGGGATGCTGTGGTCTGAAAGATTACGAGGGCAGGTGACTGTGACGTAGGCCTTGCAAATCCTGGTGCCCCTGTTCACATAGGTGGGACGATGAGACCAGCCATAGCTGAAACAGAATCGAAAAGCTGGTCATTTAAAACATCGACATGTACATCTTCCTGACCGACACATACAGATTTCCTGCAAATAAATTGAGCAGAAAACCAAAATGGCCAGTTTTTTATCTAAATAAAATTAGTGTCACATCAATTCTACAAAAATGATAAAATAAAACTAACTAGATAAAGACTCATGACATTTCCTTTTTGGCATATGAAAGACACAATGATTCTCCAGTAAGTTCAAGGGCATAGATCTGTGTATGGACAATAGGGACACGTCTGTACCAAAACGATGGGGGTACTGTGGGTGTTTAGGGAAGCACGGTGTTCAGGGGTGATGTGGTCCCAAATTATGTTGAAACCAAATGTAGACCATTGAGTGTAAAACATGTATCGTTCAATTATCATTTAACATTATACAATAGCCATAGATTTATTACAGACAATTACTACTACAGATGAACACACAGAACTAAAAATGTAAAAGGAATCAGACATATTTGTATTTAAATTGAAATGACATGGGTGGAATGTTAGGATGACTTCAAGGGCCCCTAAGTGACAGGGGCCCTAAAAATATGGAACATAATTGGATTGGTCTGGGTTGGGGGTCCAATATGGGGTTCAAAATCTCTAGTGGTGGCCCTGAACATGACAAAAACTGAAAATGATTTCTATTCCAAAGGGTACGAAATGGACCGTCCAATCCAGTTCCAAAATTAGCAATAATTAGCCAAGTTTTACTGCTCAAAAGTATATATTTGTAATTTTCAGGAGAAAGAAGCATATCTTTTACCATCCAGCAATCAAGTATATTTATTATTTGAATAAATTCTCCTAAAAACACAATTAGAAGAATAAACAGAGAAATACAACATGAAAATGAAGAATAAATGAGATTTCACGATATGATCGACATGATCGACGCGGCTAGGTGACAAAAGCGTCGAGCTCTTGCTGTAATCCCATTTCACAACGTAGATAAACAGAGACTTCTCCGAAAGCCTGCGGAGATCTGTTTTTTAGATCCGGCTAAGCCTTCTGTGAGACTTTCAAAGATGACTCCACATGAAGAAACCGCGGAAATGTCAGTCACAGCGGGAACGAGGAGGAGAAAAGAAAAATCGGAGCTTTCACCACAATTTCCTTTTCCATGGGGAAGAAGAAAAGAAAATTACAGTATATTTAACATTATTTTATGTATGCACGGCAAATATAATATTTCTATAATTTATAGGTTAATTTACATTTAAAGACCCCATACTGGTGAATAAGTTTTGCTCGTTGCTTATTGGAATACCGAAAACTCAATATCACTGTGCATTACTACAAAACAGCACTGATGACAAAATCTGCAGCAGAAATCTCATTTAAGGGCCCTCAGTCTTTTCCCCCTCACAACAAAACCAGCTTTCTGTCATTCTCTTGGCAGTTTTATGCATGTCGAATTGAATACGAATTAGCTAGTTTTGCCAGCACCGGCTAAAACACAGTAACAGGGTGACATGCCTTTAAGGCCAGGAAACGTGTGTGTTTTGCGAACAACCGCTGACACCCGGGTCGGCATACGGCAGCGAGCGCATGCCTCGTGGGCACACAGTACCCAGTGAAGTTCTGCTCTTGGCACAAACGCCACTGAGCGCCACAGCGTGCGTCTCTTTAAGGGACCATTCAAACCACAAATATTAATTTTAATTGGAAGTTCAGACATCAGCAGGAAGACATTTTCTTCGATTCCAGTTTTATTAGGTATTTGCTTAGAATTTTTTATGAAATTGAAACAACACATCGCATAAAAAGATTTGATCATTTCAACAACCCAAGCATCGACATCCCAATTATCTGCTTAGAATAAATTATACATATATGACATCTATTTCTCCTTTGGTTTTCATATTATTGTTTATTTACAATTGTCACCTGGAAGCAATCAGATGTGGTTAAATTTATTAGCACCAAACAGTTCGCAGAGCAATATAACGAGAGCTGGAAGTTATGGATCAACTTTGACCACAAACCATTTATACCATGAGACGGACGAGCCGAGTTTCTGTGAGGTTTAAAGGTTCTACCTCAAACATTTTCTGGCTGTCTGGGTTCCACTCCAAAAAGGGAGAGGATTTGATATTAAAAATTGCCACATCTGACTCTAAGGTTGAAAGCTATCAGTTTTAGGACCGAGGAATCTATATGAAAGCAGTGAATTGTTTTGTCTTTTTAATACTCTGTAGGCAGGGCTTAGTTTAACTGCCTTCATCGACCAATAACTAGCAGTAGTGGGCAGGGCTGAGAGGCAGGCAAGGGGCGGGGTGCTCACCCTGTAGGCTGCTCCCATTGGTGCTGGTGCAGGTGGGGGGCGGGGAGGTCTGTGGCCGCACGACAGGGGCGAAGGCGCTCTTCTGTTTGACTGCAGAGATCATATTGACAGGAGAGAATGAGAAACGGCCAGCGGGGGCAGCAGAGGAGGAAGAGGTGTTAGCGCTGGAGGAAAGAGCAATGGAGCATGTCTCCTTGGGAAGGCTGAAGTGGGGGGGTTGTGGGGGGTGCGATGGTGACTGAGACAGACAGACAGATACACAGGCACGTGAGGAAGAGGGTCGCTTCATCGATAAACACGGACAGGAGCCTTGATTTGGGACAGAGTTGCCATGGCGGCAGGAAAATGCAATGCAGTTGCTGATCGACGCCACAAAGTTGATCCATAACTTTGCCCCCTTACAAATTATACCAAAAAACACCTCCCTCACCACTATCCTTACTCAAAGTATATCTATTCTTGTGCTATTTCATTTGACATATTTGTCTATAATGAACAAGGACATGTACCGCTATAATAAACAACGGTATTACGCTTGGCAGAAATCCTATACAAGAGGACAACACACTGAGGGAGCCCTTTGATGGCAGACTCCTCCGGAACCGGGCACTTTGGCTTTCACTGAATGCCTCCGGACTGTGCAGGGCACCCGTGCACAACCTGTCCGGGGACTTCCATCTTTGTGTTTGTTGCCCGCGGATACGACGCTTCCGTGAACAAGCTATGCGATAGCTACTCAGAGTATGCGAGCTGTGAGCGCATTTTTAGCAAGTGACAGTAGTGAAAAGAAAAAAAAAACGTCCAGAAGGGCGTTCGTGTCCCCATGGTTATACCATGCCGTTATCTTTATTGACATTTTATGTCTCTCCCTATAACATTATAAGGAGAATTGGATATTGCTGAAGTATTTACCCTGTGATTTACAAAATTTCAAAATGAAATGAGTCCTTTTTCCCAGGTGAATCACATCAATGTCCTTAAAGGCAGTCAAATTAGCTGCCTCTGCATCAAGGCTACTATAAAACTTCCATGTGTTTGGGATTAGGTGAGTTTTTATTGGCGAACCTGCTCTTACAGTCCTAGAGCAGTGTTTCTCAACCCAGTCCACAGGGACCCCCAAAACGGTCCACATTTTTGCTCCCTCCCACCTCATAGCCAATCATGAACAATGAACACCTGGTACAGGTGTGTTGGGAGCTGGGAGGGAGCAAAATGTGGACTGTCTGGGGATTCTTAAGGAATGGGTTGAGAAACACTGTCTTAAAGGGTTCATTCCAAAAAAAAAAATCCCCAAGAACCGATTCATTCAATGACAGCAATTCTCTCATAGCAGGAGAAGAGGAGACCATGGAGCCGCAAGCCCTAGAACAGCAGATACCTTCTGCCCCCCTCCCACACGCAGCCTCACGCCTGAAACTTGCTCGGGGCACGGTCTCAGCCAAGATCCGAAGACGTACTTGCGTAGGGGGAACTGGCGGAGGAGCCATTGAGGAAGCTAGGAGATCCGGGCACCCCCAGGTTGGTCATGCCTGCCGCCCCATAGCCGTTCATGGTGGAGGTGATGGTGTTGTAGTTGGACTGTTGGGGCGTGGAGCTGGGCGCGTAGCCTCGGGGAGACACGCTGTTGGAGTTGCGGGAGTAACCTGGATGTAGGACAGGAGGCATAAAAACTCGTTGAGAGACTTTCCTCGTTTAACACGACTATCAAGACAGGAATTCATACTTGTCCAATGGCAGCAGGGGTGGATCGCTCGACAGGACGTTAGCATGTAGAGCCAAGGGAGAGGCCACTGAAAATAGCCGCCAGGGGAAGGGTCAGCTGGCACTCCAGGGGAATAATGAACGGGAGGCAAGAACACTACACTGCGCTGGAGGACTCATTTAACCCACGAACACGTCGAGGATGAGGCCAACAAGAGAGACAAGCCAAGAGTTTCACCCACAGAAAACAGGACGACAAAAAAAAAAAACAGTTGCGCTTCCCCAGAATGTTAAAAAGCTTTAAATATAACTAAAGTGTCACATTAAACTAAATCTCGACATTAGATATGTGCTGATTATCTCTGTTTTACAGAGAATAATGATAGCGTTGTTAAAGGAGCGAAACCTTTAACTTCGGTGTTATTTTGTTCAGAATAAGAGCATGGAATAAGTAATTAGGTACTCAAGTCAATTCTGTAGCCCTTTTCCCATGATCTCATAGATTTCCCAAGGTGTTCCTTCCTGAGCCGTTAATGTGAAAAGCAGGCGAAGGGAGGAGAGGCGGGAATGACAAGCCGTTAGGCGGGGGGGGGGCATTCCTCTGTCCAACCGCAGTGCCTTTAACATCACGGCATGCACACGTGCAACACAATTGCTGCATCGCATTTTTGGACCAGTGTTCGTACGCTGTGGGCGTGGGCCAATTCATGGCCAGACCTTCCAGTTGCATTCCACATGGTGTTGACGTGTACCGGTTGGCGCGGACGTGTCCCTAAGACACCTGTGGATCCATACACGCCAAAAAGCCCGTCTTCAGTCCTGTGTATCGCATTTGCTGCTGTCAGTGTGGTCCATCTTATCGCTTGGGTTAGCTTTCCCAGCTGGGTTCAAGGCTGAATTTGAATTCACAAGCACTGCCACATTCCCGTACTCAGTAATGTTCATAGAGCTCTTATATAGCTGAGGATTGTTTTCATAGTTATTAAAATAGCTTTAATAAAAATAATTCCTAATAGTAATACATAATTCTGCTTATCTTAAACCCAAAGGTCCAGTTCTGTGACCCATGACATTTTGAGCTGTGTAGCCTAAGGCCTGTTGAGGGTAAGAGCGAATGCAAACGCTCCCCAAAGCCTGGAAACACTGCAGCATCTACCGCATGTACAGCTGCGTGGGTGCTGTGTTTTGGAGCTTGTTATATGCCGCTCTCGTCTCACGCTCTTTATGTGGAGTGACAGGGTTCTGGGGTCCTTGCCGGGACATTTACCCCCCGCCCCCCCGATCCGGTTTGAATGTTTCACCAGCTACCGTGCTAACAGGCAGCCATTTTGCGGTGAACGGCATCACTGACTGGCGGCTGAAAACGGTCCTGCTGACAGTGACACGTGTGAACAGAGTGTCGCCGTGAGGTTTGTGACGTCATGGCCTCCGGCGCCATTACAGCGATGGGGTCAAACAGTTGGCGCAAAGGTTCTGGTCCTAGGTGGCACCATAGCTTGCGGGATCCCTGGATCCCTGAGGGGTTGGGTCACCAGGTGCTACAATCCGGCTGAACCGTTAGGCCCAGATCTTGCTACAGACCGGGCACTCAGAACTCATTCAGCCCAGAGGGACATGAACCTTGGTTCCATCTGGATAAAGACAGATGCTACCCTACCCCTCACATTTGACTCGCTACAATCACTATTCAGTTACTTATGGATCAACTAATCTGATACTTCAGGCTTTAATATCCTCCTTCCTCCTCGTTCACAGGATTTTAGCATTTAAAACCTAAATCCTGCACAGTATTACTTGTTCAACCAGAGCTGAGCACCCTTTATTACATTAAGCAGTAAGGAGTTTTATAAATATAAATTCAAATCAAGTCAAACTAGTCAGTGAATATAAAGCTGTAAGGACAAGCAATCTTTCACAATAATAAAAAATTGGGGGTGCATAGGTTGCAGTTGTGAGGGTAAATACATCAGTATCTAAGGGCACTTTCCACCACACCAGAACCATAATTTTGGAACTTACTTTCGGTACTGACTGCCAGTCGAGTACCAGTACCAAAAGTTCCAGTACCAAACCATCTGGGGTTATTTTTTGATACTTTAGGGTGGGACTTGCAAATGGTTTCATTTCAAGTGATTATGCCGGTAGCATAATCTCTAAGCACAATAATGATAAACTAAGTGGGGAAAAAAGTAAGATACGGATGGACGAAGTGATCGAATTTTAGAAAATTTTGAAATATCGCAATATTGTAATAAATATTATATTTATAAAGTAGAAAAGGAGTTAAAATATAAATATATATTTCACAAATCCATCTAAGAGTAATTTAAATAGTAAGGATTGTCTCGCGAACACATGCAGTGCTCATGCAAAAGGACTTAAAACTCATTTTTTAAACACATACTACATAATCTTGAAAGGGAAATAATCATTAAAACTACAAAGCTTGCTAAGTTTTTTTCTCCTATGGCAGAGCAAAAATGTTTTAGCGAAATGCCCATGCTATGATGTCCGTACAGTATGAAGGTATGAAAAAGCCTTATCTCAAGTATGCTGACTAAGTAAGCCCCGCCTTGCATTGTGATGTCATTCAGTGGCAGTACCAGGAAAACCAACACAAAGAAGTGCTGAACTTTTGGTAGTTTTCTGAAGTGGCTGGTGCAGTGGAAAATTCCCTGAGCATTCCCACCTTTGTTTCATGTTCAATGAGACTTAAAGATATACTTAACGCCACCTCCCCCATGCATGTTAATTTACAGTCTCAATGCTGGAAGGGGTCATGCCAATCCTGGCACCCTGCATCTCTTCAACTGACCACTGGGGGCAGCATTGCCCAAACACAACACTCACCCTGGTCACCCTGCGAGGCCTCGGAGATGTTGACGGCCAGCTGGCCCCCGAAGGAGTTGACCCCCATCATGCCTGAGTGGGCGGCCGAGCCGGTGAGGGAGGGCAGCTGGTTGTGGCTGCGGGGGACGCTGTAGAGGGCTTCCGTCAGGTCGGCTGCTCGCTTTAGGATGATCTCCTGCAAGGGGTGGGGAAACACGAGGTGGGGGGGACGGGGGGGACAGGGGGTAAAGTGTCACTTTTTTACTTGACTACATTCCTTCTCCTACATCCCTCAGCGCACCTGTGATCACAGAGGTCATGACCCCTGAGGCCAAAGAGCCCAATCTATGTTTGTGTTTATCATTAAGGTTCTGCAACATTTCTGTTATACATGCATGGAAGTGACACTGGCACATGCCCCAGGGCCCCCTACCTGGTTGTTGTGCGGCATGCCATACAGAGCCTCTACCAGGTCGGCTGCCCGCTTCAGGAGCACCTCCTGAGGGAGAAGGACAGGGAGAACGTCTCAGAGAAGGAGCTCAAAAAGCCACGAGTCTCCTCCCTGCGCTTTTAAGATGCTACGTTTCCTTTGCTAGCCCGATGTTCACAGCGCGGGTGACGTACTGAGCACCCAATGCCAAAGCGTGGATTAAGTGACAGTGACTTTTCTTCTTTTTTTTGATTTAGCAGAAACAGAGTCACACGTCTAATAGCGGGTGACAGCGGGAGAGGAAGTGAAGAGGAACATGACAGACGGTGGCGGAAAAGGCGGCCCGCATGTGCGATACACACAGGAAGTGGCTGCCAGACGCTGCTAAATCAGTCCTGCCATCGAGAGCCGAAAAGAGGGTTTTCCTCTTCCTGTGTCTCCCACTGGCTCCTCATGCTAACAAAAGGCAGAATTTCAGCTTCATGCCATCATTTTTAGCCTTTTAATGCTATATCCTGTTTATTTCAAAGGAGTTCGGCTGATTTTGTCAATTTTATTATTAAGCATTTCCTACTGGAAAGACGTGGTTTGATCTTGACCACACTCGTCACACGCCGGTCAGGGCAGTTTGCGGCACACCGCACCATACGCTGGGATGCTGGAAGGTGTCGCCGTGGGGACGCACAGTACAAAATGGCCGCAGGAGCAGCGGGGCAGGTGGGTGGGCATACAGCTTGAAGACAGGGGGTGCGCATAAGTGTTCTCGGACCGTTCCTGGTGCTTCTGATCCAGGCCACACTTTAGTGCTGGCGTATTACTGGCAAGCCGCATCTGCTTATTGGATTTCCCCTGCCTAATTCACCCCTCCACCCCGCCCACCAGCCCTACCCGACACTGCAGCTCCATTGCCCCGGGGCTGTTTCCTCACCACACAGACAAGAATGCGTCCAGCTCTGCCCCGAGGGGTCGCCTGGCACTCCCTCTTAATAACAATAACAACCCCCTCACAAACAGATAAATAATGCCCCTGCCAACTGGACAGTCGGGGTGAGTCAGGGGGTCAGGGCACCAGGGTGGGGACGGGAGGCATGGCTGGGGGGGAGCCGGGGGGAGGGTCGGCAATGCACTGGCATTATTGGCGATTTGAGGCTCTTTTCTCTGCAGGCCGGCTTCTGAGAGCTGGTGTTGTGGGACCCTCTGCTGGAGGTCTCAGGGGTATTGCAGCGTGGCTGGGCCTGGCACCACCGGGGATGGAGGAGCGGGTAAATAGAGGTGGAGGAATGATGGAAGGACAGGGGAAAGGTGGAGGGAGAGGCGGAGGAGAATGAGACAGAAGAGAGAACGATAGGAATAGAGGGGATGATGGAGAGTGATGAGGGGGAAATGGAGGGAAAATGGGGGAAAGAGGAAGGGGGAGGCAGGGCACAGCTGGAGGGGCGCCGCCCACTCTAATTGCACCGTAAAAGATCAGAGGCTTCCCTGAGCAACACGCCCCCCCGCAGCACAGCAGAGTCTCCCGTACAGCACCTCTCCTGGGGACCCCAGTAATCCTGAAAGACCTCGGAAATCCCACCCATCACTCAACTGCGTCGCCATGACAATGATTGTCATGTGACTTGGTTCCATCCCCTTTATCCCCTCCGCACCTGTTCCAAGGCACAGGACGGAGAGGAAAGGCAACCAGACCTCATATCTCCAGATCCCTACGATGATGATCCTCACGTGCCGCTGACTCGGTGACGAGGCACGCTAAATTATTAACGTAACGCAGGATTAACCGGCAGCCGCGGCGTCACGGTGTAGCCTACAGGCAATGAGTCATGCAAATACAGAAATGCGTGTGTCCGATCAGAAATACCCTCCCCACGGTGGGCCAGAGATATTTACGAGTCAAAAAATTACATGAAACCATTAATTGGGCTAACGTGAAAACTTTTTAGCTTGTTCTTTGCAGTTTTTAACATTTTTAAATGCTTTTTAATTTTTTGTGAATTTTTAAAATTAGTTTTGTTGACTTTTGGTGAGTCAGAATTTGCATCATGTTTATGCTTTTCACACGCCTCAGAAATGACATTTCTTTTGATTCACTCTTAAATCTGTTGTGATTCATCCATCCATCCACCGTCTAACTGCCCATCCTGGCTCGGTCTGTGGGGGGCACTAGAGCCTATCCCAGGTAGCATGGAGGTACGACACAGAAGGTGTGCTGTGAATTATACCACCATATTTACTGTTTAATAAAACTTTAGTACAAAAATAAAATACAGCTATGATATTAATATGCAGGGAAAAAAAAATGATACATTAACCCCCATACACAGACTGGTGCACATTTACAACAAGGCATTAGTCTGTTTTATTTTAATAATTAGATGTGAGTGACATAACTACTGCACCATCATTAAAGTGTAGGTGGGTGAGGAATTACTCATGAATTCATAATACAGTGTTTTATTGACCCATGCAGACAGAGCCGCGTCCGTCCTCTGGTCAGGCAGGGATTACCGGCCGTAACGTATAAAAACATCTCAGCTTATCACTCCTGACGTGCTCTTCTGGTGCTCACACACCAGCACCGCCTCGTGAAACACCAGTGAGCGTGACACGGCCGTGTTTATCACCGATGTCTCATTGTGAATTTTATCCCGTCGATAAATAAGTTGTTTGATGAACAAATCAGGCAGGATGGGGGCACAGGCGGGGGGGCTTAGAGGTGCTGAAGCACATCCCTCCCCATCCCCGGCACATAGCGGTAACGTCAGGGGCCACGGAGCCAGCCTCACTCCGGCCCCCTTGGGCCGCGGCGCCTCCCGCTCAGAGTCCTGGGCTCACCTCTCTGCCCTTGCTTTGTCCCCCAAGCCCCCCCCCGCCAGGCCGGGCCAGCCAGGCCACGGCCCAGGAACGGTGTTCTGGCGTGTGCGGCTCCTGCCTCCCCGTTCCCCAGCCTGCGCGTGCCCACTCCGCCCGCCTGCCCCGTTATTAAGCGCTCTGCCATCCGCGACGAGCAGGCAATCTGTCAGGGCCTGGCACCACTGACGCACCGCTGTGGAACCGAGGAGTTACTCCCCGCCCCGTGCCCCACCCCCACCCCAACTGGCTGGCTCTGACTTCATTAATCTCCATTACAAAACAGAAGTTAGTTAATGTCTCTGACGCTCGACGGCTGCGCCACCCGCCCAGGGCCCTCTGCCACCTCCCCCTACTGCGTCCCTTTGCCCCCGCGCACTGATGGCACTCCTGTGTCGCACGAGTCGCTGCCTCTTACTCTGTTCTCATTAGCCGGTGACAGACGCGTGGCCTTTAAGGGTGACCGCGGTCTCGCGGCCGTCACTCTCAGATTCCGCTCCCCGTCACGCATGTATATCTGCGTATGCGAGTTGTCGATCTCCGCCACGGCGAGAAGACGGGGAAGGATCACCCCACCCCCCCCAAAAAAGCACCTTCATTTCCCCAGTAAAGGGTGCACCACTTTCACCCTACCCCAACACCACAAGCTGGGGGCGGGGGGGATGGGCATCAGCATGCACGCCATGGGATAGCACCATTGGGTTCCTGTCAGGGTAAGTGCCAGCGATCAGCGTGCCGGTGCTTTAACACCACAGAAAGCTCCAGTCGATCGATACTGTAATACACCGACCGCCAGTTATCATCATAATCTCTTATTGCCCCCCCCCGTGTGAGTGTCGGGGGGGTTAGGAAGTACCTTCACTGTGGACTTCCTCCGGTGGTGTAGGGCGGGGGGTTTCGATCTTCACACCTGCCTGCACACTAATCTCTCCCTGAAGCCCCCCCAGCACTCAATGGCAGAACTCATGACGGCCCCACACTTCCCAGAATGCTCTTGGGGCGACCGGCAGGCGTCGTCGGTGTAAAATCCAGGAGAGGCAGCTTCTGCCTGCATGCCTTCTAAAGGGCTGGGTACTAAAGAGAGTCGATAGCAGAATTTCTTGAGAGCGAGGATCCCACTCAAGTTTAAAACAACATGAAGTAACTACACTGTATCCGGAAAGTAAAAAAATGTCAATGATGCAGCACAGAGGCCGAACCCTCGTCCCCCGGCCTGCAGCTTAAGCAGGCAGCTGATCTGGGTCCAGTTTAATGTCTAGTGACGCATTTCCGCGTGGAGCTGCGCAGTCACAGCTGCGATACCAACCTCCCGGCCAGGCAGCATCTCATTGGCCGTTATGTGATGAAATATTGACACCTCCAGTCAGCAGAATCGACGCTGCTGCTTTTGAGTGCTGCCGATCGACTGCAGCACATCCTTTATCAAAATTACTATTTCATCGAGAAAATGCATACACTTCAGACTGAGGCTATTACAGCATTATTGTGTCTTTTCCAGTTAACCCTTAAATATATCGAATGAGTGCAAAAAAAGTATTTCAACAATAAAATCAGCGTGGAGTGGGAAATATTAATTCCAGTTGCAGTTTTCATTCTATGATCTACATTAAACACCTATGGTATGAATTATTGCTCAGAAATCTGTTTTTATAAAACAGCATATTAAAAGCCTCGAGGTTTAATGAAATTTTACTAATTAAAAAAGCAGTTTTCTGTCTGGTGTCACGATACACAGAGGTAAATCCATCAATGGGAACGGAATCTCTTTCTGAACGGTCCAGGAGCATTTTTGGATCTGACCCTCTTGACGGTTCCAGCCGGACCCGTGACGCGTTGGCGGATTTTGCAGGAGAGATGGAGCTGAAGGGATGGAAGGACGCAGGGAAGGCAGGCTGGTAGAGTCGCGGGGTCGGCTTATTAACTCGCAGCACGTGTGGCGACGTGGCGGCCCGCCGGACGGCTGAGGCCAGGCTGCCGCCTTAGTCACTCTGATCTCCGCCGTGCCTCGGAGCCGCGGCACGGCGGCTACCAGTGCTGCTCTGCCGAAAATATTCACGAACTCCCAGCTGTTCCCGGGCCTTTAAGCGTACAGGAGACCAAGGGCATTGCAGGTTTTACACACATGGGTAAAGACGGACTGAAACTGGCCCACGCCGATATTAGGGAGCTGACAGCTTTGATCCAGTCTTCGGTGCAATACTGGATGCCCACCTACAGGTGGTGACACAGATGTCAAACTTCTGCGTGACTTCCTACTACCTTTCGTCCTGTTCTCCACAGGCTCATTTACAGGGGGACAGCTCCCAGGGCCGCCTGGTCGGGGGGATCCGAGTCAGCTGACCCGGTGGAAGGAGCACACAGACAGGCCTCTTAACAATGATAAATCACCAGCAGCCCTGCAAACCCCCCCCCAGCACCCTACCCTCCTGCCCCAAGTCCACATGGCAGGAGAGAAGTAAGGAGTGTCTAAGATCTTTATATTACTGAAACGGTCTGTTCAGTTAACGGTCTTGAACAGGGAAGGTGCCCCCCCCCGACCCTGGCTTCAGTGTACACCGAGCAAACCTTGTGAGAACAAAACCAACATCCTAAACATCACCTCAAATAATAAAGAGCAAAAGACACTCAAAAAACAAAGACAAAAAAAAACAAACAAACAAACCAAAGAAATGGACAAGCATAGAACTTTTGGATCAACAAGTACAGCATTGGGTTCGAATCCCAGAGAGTACAAATAAACTGTAACCCCTCTACTGTAAGTCGCCTAGGATAAAAATGACAGAGAGATTAAATACAATGTAAAAAATGAAGAGGACGCCAGCCTTGTGGCTGCTACGGGATAAAGCAGCAGGGTTGCACGACTGCACTTCCATCAGTGACCACGACATTCATGCAAATGGCTTTTAGAGAGCCTGAAAATGAAACAGTTCCTTGTTCTTACATGTTGGCCTCCTCTCCTTAGGATTAGTAAAGCTGACAGCTAAAGTACGGTCATTTCTAAAGATCTTCATCACTTGGTACAGAAACGTAATGGTGGCCAATACAGGCATCTGCTTTAACGATTAAATTATTATATTTAACTACAGCGAACTGCACTGCAGAGAACCAGTGAAGGTTTCGCGATGTTTTAAAGGACGACCAGAGCACGGGGCCATAATAGTTTTTCATAGTGTGGAGGATCTTGAACGATATCCATATTTACCGCGTATCTGGAGAGAGAGAACTCTCCGGCAGCGGCCAAGGCAGACTGGAAATGAAATTAAAGGCAAACACGATATGGACAAGAGCAGTAAAGGTCATCAGCAAGCGCAGCTGGGTTCCGAATCACCCTCTCCCCCCCCACGGCCGGCTTGCTGACCGCGAGGGAGGCTTGTACAGAAGCCAGTTCCCCCCATAGCTACCCATCCCCGTTTCGGTGACTCAGTCCTGCCCCCCCCCACCACACGCACACACACTTTCCCAACAAGGCCTGGCCCGCTTTTCTCCCTCGATATCTACCGAACCGTGGGGTGAGACTCTGTCACCAGGGTAACGGAAGCTCCGCCCCACAGGCCATCGCCCCGGCGACCTCAGACCCAGCGACAGGCACCGCGTAAACACCCCCGCTCGAGCTGGCGTCGCCAGTCCAGATGCTGCCGCTTCCAGGTGTCGCTGTTTTATTCTTATGGGTAGTTAAGTCAATATTTTTAAGCCCAAACAGGCAGGAAGGGTGGGGCGGGAGGGGGGGTAAAAAAAAATCCAATTTATATTGAGTTTTCTTTTGAATATGAAGAGAAATAAAGCTGATTCCGAATCTGCCACCCATGGAATCATCAAAGTAGCCCGACAATGTGTGTTTACTATTAGCATCAATTTAGAAATAAACTGCTTTTTTGGTGACTGGATCTTAGATGTCAGATTTTGATAAATGGCCTCAATTTGGCAGCTGTTTTAAACTGTCAGGCCCCATCTGATTGTATACCCCTCCACAGCAGTTTCCTGCCCAAAGGAATCTCACTCACTTAGTCACTGCGCTTTTTAGGGAAAATAATCTTTTCATGCTAACTAGCTGGGCCAAGCACTGAGGGCAAATACGGAGGGGCATTACGGAGTCGTCGTCCCCCCCGCTCCCCCACCTCGGGTTATTTGCGTGTGCGTGCATGCATGTCTTCGCATGAGAGAGAGCCCTATAACTGTTTGCTCTCTCCTTTTATCCTGTCAGGGCAGCGAAAAAGTAACAGGCCACTAATGCAGGGCCGCCACAGCAACCGAATAGCAACACGACGCGCTCACAGAGTCCCGAACTCGCCGCTTTGTTTTAGGCTATGTTTCTTAACCCAGCTGTGTTTCTTTTCGTCTTTTTTTATAAAGGGAAATGTGTTGTCACCACAAACCACAATTGACTGCTGCCTGGGTGCAGGAAGGGGGTGGGGGCAGAACGGAGGGCGGGGGGGAATTTTCCCGTGAACTGGCGACCGCGTCGTTTTGTTTTTGGGTCTTTGTGAGGTTGTCTCACCAAATCAGGCATTAAATGGAGTGTCACTGGACTTCTCAGGGACGGGCACTTGTGCGTGGTGGAGTCAATGGATTTTTTGGGATGAAACACGGGGCTTCTAACTGTCTTATCTGAACCAGGTTCCAGTGTTGAAACCCAATGTCACGTCATTTATAAGCAGAATTAAACTGGCTGCTTATTAAGGCCCTAGAGCCTATCCCAGCATGCAGAAGGCAGGGGTACACTTTGCATATCCCAGTCCATCACAGAACATGCGCATATACACACTCATATGTCAACATAAACAGGTTGATGTAATTCCTGAATACATAATATAAATGTGAAGCTTTTTGCTACCCAACACTGCAAAAAAGAAAAAAAAAAAACTAAATGTCAAACTACTTGTGGAAAAAACTAGTACCAATCAAAGTGTAACACGCAATCACAGAACCAATCATAATTAGAATCAGAGTCTGAAATCAGCACTAAAACACGGCGTCTGCTTGAGTAGACATACACCATACAGGAGTGACACAGAGAACACCAAGGAAAATTTAGCCAAAGAAGTACACCAAATAATCCATTTAAAATGAGTCAGACATTTTTCATTGGCCCGTCCTGTGTCATGTGACATACCTTGGGTAATCTCTCAGGGTCTCCGGGGTGTCTGGGGATGACCTTCTGTAACCTCTGGAAGCCGTAGTCGATGGTGGGTTCATTCAAGGCTGAGGAAACGAGAGGAGAAAAAGCAATCAATGACACGGCCTGGGTTGGATGGGATCTCATGCCCGAGTCCTACGTGTTAGCTAAGCAGTGAGGAAAGCAGCGGAAACCACAAGAAGTTAACATGTACGAATTTTCTGACAGAAGTCAACTAGAAGACTTCATGGATTTCAAATAAGATTAGTCATTAAAACAAGTTCACACCATGGCTAAAAAAGATGGCTTCCTCTCTAGTGCATGGCTAGCTTTTTCAGATAAACCCCAAAAAAGCACAAAGTACTATTTTCTGCTGTTTCATAAACATGTACAATTGTACCCTGCAGTCGTCGACAGTGATGGCTGCCGTCAAACCCAGCCTATCGATTGGTCGATATTTTAGGGATCAGTCAGGCCCAACTCCATTCCTTGGCACGCTACATGGAGGGACTCTCCAGGGCCTCGCTCCCGAAGGCGTCCCGATCCGCATCACACTAATGCTTCTCGATGCGTCCTCTTGTTTATCTACTCTGTGGCGGGACCCCGTGAATTCAGCTATCCCCCAAAGTATCCCTCTCTCATTGTTTCGCATTAATTCAATTCCACTCCTCTTTCTCCCTCCTCTCGAATCTCACTTTTATTTCATTCTCTCCGGCAGACGGCTGCTCTGCCTTCCGTTCCATTTACATTTCTCTTTCTCAAACGTTGAGGGAAAAAAAACACACACGCACACACACACACACACACACATGGAAACGAGTTAAAGGAATTTCTCCATAATCAAGCCCATTAATCATAAAAGGCTGTCAAATTTGACTTTGGGGACAATTTGTCAGCCCTCTTGCCCACTCCGCTTTTGTCACCCGTGCCGCTTGTATTCCATAAGGATGATTGACACTCCAAATGCCGGGGAGTAGAATAGCTAGTTTGCACTAATATGCATAACCGGCGCTTTCATGAATAAGAATAAGGGCATGGCAGCAGAGCACGGCCCCTTCAAAGGGCCCGCCGCCGTTCGGCTCGGCCCCGCAAATAGATGTTATTACCGCTATAACAATATTTGTTTTCTTTTCCCTGGGAATGAGGCCCTGCAAGCAGCTAAATCAAATTTGTTTGAGCTGTTTTTCGAACAGAGGAAGAGAAAGGGGATTGGAGGTGGGAAGGGTGCGTGGGGGTTGGGGGGGGACCTGTTGAGGGTATGGTTGGATTGGGGGATGAGTGGGACGGTTCACCTGGGACCTGTGGGATATGCCTAGGCGAGTCCTCCCTCACCACTAGGAGCTGATGTTTACTTTGCCTGGCCTTCCTTCTCTGTTTACCGAGCCCTGGGTGGGTGGGTATCGATCCGACAGGCGTGGTTTGAGCCCGGGACGGAGAACAAGCAGGGGATGGCTCAAATCCAGAAATCCAGAGTGGCATTGGCACATCTGAGGTTTGTCAGTGTACCCTGAGACATCAGAAGGGGGCGCTGAGAGTTTACGGTTGGATAGGGAGGACTGTGGTGGAGGAGAAACCAGCCCCACAGATTCTTACACAAACACCGCCCCCCCCCACCCGCCCATACTCTGCTGCACCCTTTCTGAATGGGTCTGTGTGACTACGAGAGAGATTGACAGAGAGAGCAAGGGAGAGATGGAGGGAGATGAGGCAGCACTGAGGGAGAGGTACAGTTCACAGGGAGCGCTTGTACTAATGAACCTCTCGACGGGGCGGCAGGCATACAGCAGCCGACGACCCCCCTCTCGCCGCTCCGGCACGGCCCCCGAAATTAAACCCATTACTTCTCCTTATTAAAATCCCAGCGCACTCTGACCCATACGACACGCCGGCCGCCTGCAGCCGCACCCCCCCCCCTCCCCCCCCCCCCCCCCTACCCACCCCCCAACCCCTCCATCCCCCTCCCAAAGAGCCCGGGTAATTGGAGAGCGCCGGCGCGCAGTGCGAACCCTGACCCCCCGCGCATTACACAGCCGATATGAAGATAGATTGCCTGATTTAGTGTAAACATATGCTGCGATTCCAGGCATCACTGCCACTTTCTCCCTCGTAATTTGTATTGATTTTTCAGCCATCTTCGAGACTTTTGGCCCTGACGTGTGATTAGGGGTGGGAAGATAATGTAGTTCGCTGGAAGGACTGCGCGAGAAGAAAACGGGGGTGGCGGGCAGACGAGGGGTGTTTATTATTTATTTATCTCCCTCTGTCCTCGTCTCCTGCGGCTACAGACGTCCGCTGGGGTGTGATCCAAGCAGTAGCCGGCCGCTGAATGCCATCTCCATGGATGAGGCTGTTTGGAACTGGCGAAAACTGACCCGTCCGGTTCCTTCGATTCTGACTATCCTTTTGTCGTTGGAGATATTAATCTTAGGCCTGGATTCCCTTCTGGTGTCACTAGGTTCGATCATGGTTGTGTAAGACACGGTGGGTTTGACACGCCCCTTAAGGAGTCGTTGAGGTGTCACACACGAGGGTACGATTGCGGAAGAGTGGAGGGGCCGTGATTCTGGCAGCTTCAGCTGTTTGCCATGCTCCTTAGGTCAATTTAGCGCGTTACTATTGTGTAATTAACCCTCTGGGGTCTAGGGGCATGATCACACATTTCTTCAAATATCATAAACTTAATTCATGGCAAATAAATTATGTCTTATATATTTGTTTTGCCATTACACTCATCTTTATTTTAATGTACATTGTAAATATGTCAGATTTTTGTTAAGTTTGAAATTTGACATCAATATATAGACATTGCAAAATGCAGTTTGGAACATTTGCAGAAACATTATAAAAGTCCATAGTAAGCAATGCTGGCAGTTTGTTTTGATCCCAGATATCTGATCACCAAAGTCTTGGCTACATGAAGATGACTAAATGGTGTAGTTGCAACATTCATTTGGATAAATAAATAAGAAAACCGAACTCATGTCAATATTTCTGGCTCCTTTCATTGAATATGTAGCAACTTTCATGTGTATGAATGAGCCATTGACACCTGTCCACGTCCCCCCCCCCCTTTTATGGCGCTGATGGGGATGCATCTGGATCGCGTTTCACCGCTGCATTGTTCATCAAATTACCATGCGAATGCGATTTGAATACGCGCTAATGCGGCTATTTAGAAAGTGAATAGCGATCTTCGGGTGAGAGCGGTACTACACGCCCCCGATGCAGGTAAAACAAAGTAAGAGTAAGTAAGACCCTGACAGACGGCTACAGGGAAACAGATCAAGTCGGCAGTCAGCGAATTCGCCCGCCCCCTAGCCTCAGGGAGGGTCAGAACCCTAGATGAAGCCCATTATGTATCTGCACCCATGTAAGCACTGGGGCAGAGAATTCATGAAATGGACTTTCCCTACATAGCTCTTGATGTCGGCACCGGCCACATACACATTTGGGAATATGGCTCCCTTGTGCGAGCAGAAAAGCATTCTGGGATGCGCGCCATGGGACGTGTTGAAATGGGACCCTGTTTGTTTTACTAGCTGAAGTAACGACTCTCCCAAAAAGGCGCCAACAAGCTCGTTACGGACACCGGTGCCCGGTTGTCTCATGCCAGTGTCCCGGGGATGGTGAGGGGGAGTTTTGTCCCCGAGTCCGAACGTACCACAGCATGTTAGCATAAATGCCAGCCAGCCGATGTGTGGCACCTCACACTTAGGACAGTAATCGAAAGTGCAGGAACATAGCAAAGTGAACAGAGGGGTGTCGGTCACACTCGTGCCTGCGTTCACTAGCGGACAGACAAACACGGGAGAATCGTGCGACATGTACGGGCCACACCAGGGGAGGATAAGGAGGAACTTAAAGAAAGAGGCTCGATCAATCACCGCAGTCTGCTACCAACCCCCCCCCCCGATCAATGCTCATAGAAATTTCATGAACTTTAAACCGTGATTGACAGCTCAGGCGAAGTAAGACGGGACGCATCGCCCCTTTAAAGCGGGAGCCTCCGGGGAAGACGGATGGAACCCCACTCTACACCACTGTACAGCCCCTGATGGAACACGTCCCTTTAATTACGAGAAAACACTCTGCAGTTATGGCAGCAGTTACCCCAGTCTGACAGTGACACCACCTGATTCTAGCCCCTACTTTCAGAACACTGGTGTTCTGTCAAGATCAAACAATTTGCTCACATTATTTTACATTCAGGTCTTCCCTCAATCCCAGGATTATTACTGTAGTTTATAGTGGGTTTGGCACTGAAAGTAAAAGATAAATGATTTTATTTAAAGGTCTCCTACTGCTTTTTTACTGACAGAGACATTTTTATTCAGCAGTGACAATATTATCACCTGTGGGATATCAGGTGATGACGATAATGACAATAGCCATTGTTGCCTGTAACGAGATAAGGGGGAACTGAGATTCAGAGGGCCCCGTTTCCAGGAGGACGTTTTAGGCCGCTACGCTAAGGCAGTCCTGCTGCACCTCCCGTCCTTGTTGCTCAACCTCATCAAGGCACAGGTTACAATTAACTTCTCGATGAGGAACATCATTTCCCCAACAATAACTGCTCAAATCACCGAGGTGGGTAAGGTGCTCCTAACCAGTGAGTGGAGCAGGACATTCATCTGCAAGCTGGGGAAGCAAACTTCCAGATCCTTATCTCTGCATATATTATGCATGAGCAACCAGATTGCAGTTTTGGAGAAACTCCATTCAGGTGCACTTGCTCCTTGAGTCATTCTGGCCACGCTGTTACGGGTCTTTATTTATATCGCAGTCCTGTCGCCATGACAACACTGTCATTAACTTTGCTCCATCTGGGCGAACCAGCAATCCCACACCCACTGCCTTAAAGTATAAAAAAACCAAGACTCGTGACCGCAAAACTGGGAACTGGCTCCGGTCCGGGGCATTTCACGGCGACCACTGTCAGACGCGGGCATGCATTTACTTCCGAAACTGTTTACCGGTTACCGGACAGAGGCAGGACGTTTCGGGGGTCTTGCCGAGACAAGAAGCACGGACGGTTCGGTCGGGGTGAGGCACAGACAAAACAGCGAGATTAAATCACCGCGACCCTTTGCTTCTCCCATATCCAGTTGACATTTAGCACATGGAATATCTTGCTAATAAGTACCATGTGCTGGTCCACGGCAGAGTGGAGAAAAGGTACAAAGCCCATCATTGTTTTCCCATACTAGCGGCGGGAAAAGCAGCTCCGCGTCCCCCCCAAACCAAGGTTATGGGAATGCCCTTTCGAAACCATCAACTGTAACTCAGGAACCCTGCGTTGTAAAGCCAGGAAAGGCCTCTTAAAGGGCCAGTGCGTGTCTTAGTGCCAGAATGTCTGCGTGAACAGAGCCACCGGCCCGGCTTGAGGTGGGACCAACGCTCCATGACGCTCGAAAACAAACTAGCTGACATGGCTTAATATTAAATATTAAGGTGAAATGATTGCAGAGTCTGCTGATTTCAGTAAACAGCAGGACAGGACCTTAGACCAGGCCCCAGTCCTGCGGGTTTGAGTGATAAAATAAATACCTAACTTAGTCTAAGCTTGCCACTCTTTTATGCTTATTACGATTAAATTATTCAATTATACACAATGTCAGATGAAGCGCAATTTTGTTTGTTGTGGGGGGGTGACACTCGCACTGTCGATAGCTGGCAACTGCTCAAATACCATGGTGGGGGGGGGGTGCTTTTTTGCCTTTTTTGTCAAGGATGGAAAACAGACACACAATGTCGATGAAGACCACAACCATGTTGACGGAATGGTCGTTTCTGCCAACGAGAGCCTCCTCCCTTCCCCTAAGGGAACCCCTCTGGTCCAGCAACTTTTTGGACCCCCCGTCTGGAAAAGCTCATCAGAAACTTCCTCTGATCCAGAGCGGCACATCTCTGTATCATTATACCTGCAGCAATGTGTAATGTAGGGTCAAACTAATTGAATTTTATCACAGAACCCACATCAATACCTATTAAACAGCATCCATGGGTAGTATGCGACCATTGTGGAATTACATAACAAGCGTAGTAATGAAATCCATTTTAATCATTCAGATTTTAATAACGTTACCCACAAACCTCCCGCTCCTTACCTCCGGACCAATGTTGCAGAACTGCCCTAATTGTTAGCATGTGGCCTGACTACAGATTCAGGGCCTTCGGCGAAAGGGCTGATAAAAAACGAGAGGAGATGGGAGCTTTTAGCCGCATGTGAAGCCGGCGTAACCGGGGGTCGTGGCCCCCGCGTGGACTTTACCGGATTGTCACATTCGCTCGATGCCAATGCGATTAAGCAACCCGATACCAAACATGATAACCGTGACGATCCTCATTTCACGAATGGTGGCGGTTTAGCGAATCGGAGAGGTACAGTGGCGCTACAAGCTGTGGGACATGTGCAGGTCCATGCCAGTCCATGAGGCTAGGAATTGTGGGATATTGTAGGAGCTGGGGGATTGTGGGATACTGTAGCAGCTCTGGGACTGTGGGATACCATAGGGGCTGTAGGATTTTGGGATAATGTAAGAGCTGTGGGATTGTGGGATACCGTAAGAATTGTGGGATACCATAGGAGCTGTGGAATTATGGGATACCATAGGGGCTGTGGGATACCACAGAAGCTGTGGGATTGTGGGATACCATAGGGGCTGTGGGATTGTGGGATACCGTAGGAGCTGTGGGATTGTGGGATACCATAGGGGCTGTGGGATTGTAGGATACCGTAGGAGCTGTGGGATTGTGGGATATCATAGGAGCTGTGGGATTGTGGGATACCGTAGGGGCTGTGGGATTGTAGGATACCATAGGGGTGGTAGGATTGTGGGGTTTTTTTTTCTTTTCGCACAGCTGTGTTTTCACTCGGAAAGCCAATACCCCCTGGCTGTGCTCATTGGTTTACCCACACCTTTCCGGAGCAGCGGCTGAGGTAAGGGAGTGAGGGGGCGAGGGGTTGAGTGCTGAAAGACGTTGGGGGGGACTTAAGGCAAAGCACCCCGGACTGTAAGGATTACGAGATCCGGGACAGTGCCTGTAAACCCATTAGGCGACATAGGCGGCCGCTTAGGGCACCGTCTTAGGGCAAAAACACAGGTGCCCCCCCATCCTACACAAAGTAAAATCAGGCAGTGGGGGAGCTGGCGGTAAAGCTTGCCTGTGGCGCCACATAAGGCCAGCACTGATCAGGGAAATTGGCATCTGCAGAATCTACAGAAACACTGGAAACCAAAAAAAATATATGGAAGAAGACGAGACCTGATTGGCCCCCTCCCTAGTCACTCACCGTTTCAGTACATATCACTGGCTAATGATAAGGCTGGTCCCTCTGTATGAATTATGGTCCCGCTTATGCCCCCCACCATAAATAAAACCCTAGAAACACCCCTGAACCTGGGTGACATCAGAAGGCCAATAAAAGCATAAATCCCATTCAGAAGGTGCCTGCATTCCTTCTCCCATTTACGAGGACCCCCTTCTTCACGTCACAGTCTTTGCACGTGGGGCTCCAGAGGCATGGGGGGGGGGCATCACAGACCTTTGGCACCATGTGACAGCCACTGGGAGGGGAAGGACAGCTTAAAGGCTAAGCCCCGCCCCATCCACCGCGGCCTGATCTCTGCCTGTGGCGAGTGCCATGAAAATCAAAGTCGCCAGGTTTCGAACCTCCAGAATATTAAAATCCCTGCTACTGGTTACCACGGGGACAGGAACCGTGTGAGTGACAGGTGATTATCCAATCAGCTGCGAGGTCAAGAGTCAAGATGCACCGTTTTTCTCCATTTAACCAAACGTTATCCGTGTCACACAAACTATTCTCTCTTTCTTAGACTCAGTGAGTCAAGACGCCATGAAAAAAGAAGGATGTGTGTTTTTCATTCCTGGGTAACTCCTTTCATATCAGATTATTTAGGAACGACAGTGCTTAAATATTTAAGCGGTCTCATCCAGAGGATTTTAATATTCTCCGCTGTTTGATATAACACTGAGTTTTGGGTCAGGAGGATGGTTAAATATGTGCTTACTGGGGCATCTGGAAGGTCCCTGGTGTGGGGGGGGGGAGACAGCCCTGGATCTGCATGTTTTCACCCCTGTTTAATAATGCATAGCCTGCAAATTTAGCCATTTACAAGCCTGCGTGCTGCCGGATTCAGGTGTGACACGTTCAGGGAGCAATGAATATTGGGGAGAAACATACGTTTGCGTGACGAGGGGGCTCCCGTGTGCTTTTATTAATCGCGTTTACCATAGGTGCGTGAAATGAGACCTTGGGGGCACCCAGAGAGACAGCGGCAAGACCGTGGCAAAATGATCAGGTGTCTTAATGGATATGTGACCACATGCTGTCGATTGAACGCAATAAAATCTATCTTGATGCAAAACAAGAATTATATATTTCTTTGCATAAGGCTCCAGCCCCCCCAAGATGTTAACTTGTATGAGCAGAGGATGATGGATGGATGGATGGATGGATGGATGGACGGACCGTGGAGCTTTTTAAAAAAGAGAGTCATCGGGAGAAGATTTAAGTCCTGTCCACTTGTTTCTTTGCTTTTAAGAAACTCATGTGTAACCTTTCTTTTTACAATAAAAAAAAAAAACGATATAATTCGGGCTTTTATTAATTTTTAATTTATTTTACGATGCATTAAATTATTTCTAGGTGATTTTTTCATGATTTCTCATCACTGCATTCTTAATGATGCACCAAAAGTTACTTAGTGCTCCCTCCAGAATCCGCAGTCCATGGATGGATGGATGGATTGATTGATTGATTCCTTGACAAACTACTGTGTGTGTCTGTTCCAGGCAAACTACCCTCAACATTTATCTGAAGCCAGAAGTAAATACGTATGGAAGTAAAAGGGTACGATTCGGGATAAGCCTATGTCGGCGTACGCTGGGCCGTATCGCTGAACGCCATCGGCTATTAGCATCGCAAAAGAGCCGGCAAAGGCCTGGCTGGGCTCGCTGGCGTCTCTCCCGGCTACATATACATGACATGAATGAGCAAAGCGGGGAGATAATCCTTATGTTTAACAGAAACCCTTAACATAGCGGCTGCCTTTGTGGTGCACACTTTGACATTTTGTTATCATGCTAAACAGTCATTTTTTCCCCTGACCTTTCAACTGCTTTGAATGGTGCCTGGATTATTCAGGTGAATAATCGGACATGAGGTATAAAGGCCCGATTTAGCTGGATGATAGAAATCTGCCCCCCCTTCCCGGACTGCTGCATGGGGGGGGGAGCAGTGACCGACCATCAGATGGCGACGTGAAAGAGGAGGGGAAAATAACATTTGTGGTAGAACACCTGACCCTCTCATTGTCCTTGTAAATAACATTTACAGAAAGGCGTACACAATGGGGGAGGCTGAAAATCCCGCAAGACAGTGGCGGGGGGTGGGGGGGGGGGAAGGAGAGAGTGGCAGAAAGGCCATGGGGTGGCGAGGCGGCGGCGTGTCGAACCTGTGTAGACGAAGCGTCCTGGGGCCCCCTTGCAAAACTGCTTGGACTTGTAGGAGAGCGTAACCTCCACGACCCCCGGAATGTGCCGAGGGGGTGTCTGGACTCGGATGGCGTGGGGCGTGATCAGCTGCAACGCGACAAGGAGACAAAGGGTCACTGCGGCCACCAGAGGGAGGCGCTGTAATTACAGAAACTACTTTCCTCCCTGGCCCGAGTTTGAGTCGTCGTCGTAAAGCACGCTTCGTAGCGTACCTGCCCCAGAGCATTTAATAAACGTTTAGCAGTGACATTGCAAGTTAATTTGAAGCAAATTAAGAACAGATATCGGCGTTTAATGGGAAATAAAGCAGAACAGAGCATGGGAGGGAAAACTAAAGTCACAGGGTCGGTAGGAGAGTAATAAAAACCTTCTGGGGTTCCAAGACCAACAGTCCAACACCCCCCCCACCAATAACGCAAAGCGACATTCGACTCAAAATCAGCTGCTTGTGTTTCATTTCCCAGGACCGCACCTCGGTCATCAAAATCCCCCCCACGCAGAGGGGCACCCACCTCGCTCCACACCAGCATGGTGCCGAAAACCACCTGCAGGCCGTCGAAGAAGTTGTCCCCGATAATGATGACGGTGGCCCCCCCGGTCGTCCAGCCCTCGCTCGGGCTGATGGCTTTGATGCAGGGGGTGGCTGCTTTGGAGACAACAGGTGGGAGGGCATGAGAACTACAGCTCTCACCTGCGTGTTTTTAAAGCTTTCATGCGCCTAGCAACCGGTTTCCATGGACGCCGTTGTCCATACAGCGCAGTACAGCCATTACAGCTAACCGGCCGAAGTCTAGTGCTCTCCCATATAATTTAATTTAAAATCCACTCTTGCATATCTGATACGCAAATTGAGAACAACCATAAAATAATAACAATTATTATATACTTCCATAATGGGTCTTACCATAGCTAATAACGGTCACGATTACAGATTCCCAGATGTTGCCATTGAACTGGGGGGAGGGGGCTGGGATCGGCGCTATTTTTTGTACGTCAGATCAATTCCTGCACTCCCTCTGCTCTGACTACCAGGAAACGGGGCTCCGTTGTGCCGGCACAGAGCCAGACGGGCAGGCTGGCCCATACAGATCTCCATCCAAATTGATCCTGTCGTATGTGGGGAGATATTCTCCAACCGGCCAATCGGACATCACCATAGACAGGGTGGGCGACTGACAAGGCGCCTCTTATTAACAAGCCGGTCCTTGGGTTATTAGCTATTGATCAGGCCGGTTATGAGCAGCCGTCTTATGTTGTCAAAGTCAGGGCGGCATCCAGCGCATGTGAGCACTGGAGCCTTCGTGTCGAGCTAGAGAGACCAACTGCGAGGAGGAGAGCACTGAACAGTGCGGCTGTCACCCTCAGGGCATGCTGGAAGCTAAGGAGGGCAAGGCCTTTGGAAACACAATAGGAATGTCAAGACACCGTAGATGCCATCACCTAACTTCATGCCATGAACTTTCGGTACCAGGATCTTTGGCTAAACACCAATGCCAGTATAATCCTCATATTATTTAAGTACTAAGCTCAGCAGCTCAGAAATCCTTAACTGAAGGGGTCAGATCTGAATGACAATCATCTATCGAATACAAAGAGGCAAGTAAGTGAATTTGGGTATAGATGACAGGGACATGTCCTTACCAGTGTTGTGGGAGTTCCATGTGTGTTTAAAGAGGGAGGGAGTTCAGGGCTGATTTGGACCCTACCAGTGCGATGAAATAAAGGCCTTTAGCTATCAGCAATGATAACCTTCGGTTTGAAAAGTGAGCCCCCCCCACCCCCGCCCCCACAAGCCCACTTAATCAGCCATGCTAAGCGGTGGTCAAATTGATGGGGAACTTTCCAATCTGCATAAGTGAATAAAGTTTACGAAACAAAGGAAAATAGAAACCGTCAAATATTAATTGACGGGGAACGCGGAACAAAGACTTGAGCAGATGTTCGCTTTATCTCTTAAGGAAGCATCGCAATCTGGCTGGGATGAAAGCCTTCGTGATCCCCCTCCACGGGTCTGACTCCTCCAATGGCCTCTCTGGTTAAAGTCCTGCCCTCCGACAAACAATACGAGCCATTGTTTGTTTGTGGCGCTATGGAGAGTCGCAGGGAAACGTCGGCGAGCTCGCCCGGGTGGATACGCAAAGCATAAATATGCACGTCGTGCGCCACGGGGCTCCTGAGCCCGCCAGCGCCTTGCACACAAAACGGAACAGATTTTCCCAGCTCCTGAGGGGCCCAAGCGGGCGACAGGAACGTTCTGTAACCAGAGGACAAAGCTTGGAGGAGACAATGAGGAGAACCAGCACGTCTCCACTGGATGGGAAGCGTGACCTAGTTTGTTTGTAGTTTGGAGTTCAGGTGAGCAGAATTGCTTTGATCTGCCAGTCCTTAATTATAGCTATGTTGGGCAATACATTTCAGTAGCTACTGTTGCTCAACAAGTTGAGCATTATGCTAACAATGCAAGGCTCTTGGGTTCAAATCCCCTGGAACTCCCATTAAAAAATAACAACCCTTCCGTCTCCTATAAGTTGATTTGGATAAAAGTGTCAGATAAATGAGTTAAAAGTAAATATTGTGGATACAAGAGTCCATGTTACAGGTGGGATACAACCCTCTTCACTTTCCTATCTATGGGTGCACAGATACCTGTCTTAAGCCCCCTTAGAAGCTATGGAGCCCGTAGCACGTTTTCAGCAGACCCAAGTGAGTGGGAGTCCTACCTTCAGAGGGGTCGAGGCGCCTCGCTCTCCTGCCGTGTTTCGAGTTGTTGTGGACGAACATGTTGTCTGATACGGCGAGGACGTGGCCGTCTACGTTGACAGTCGTGGACACCACCACCTAAGGGTAGGAGCGGGTGGGTTTGAGAATCCTAGGATGTCTTTGAACGGAGCTGACAGTAAGGAGAGGTTATGGGCACTGACCTGAGATCTGTTTTATGTGTTTAAATATTTCATTAGGCCTTATTGCAGAATGCAGTATTCTTATCTGGGTGTCTACAGTGAAAACTCTTACATCATGCGAAATAAAAACCTCAGGAAAGAATCACTGAATAAACAGATGTCATTTTTTATTTCAGAAGGTGGTTAAATCAACGCTTCACATGCATTTGTTTGCTTTGGACGGTGGAGGGTCCCACCTGAAACCGTCGCATGTCTCTTGGGTTCCCTGCATTTTTCAAGCAATTCTGATTGCATTTGAGGAAGAACTTCAAGAAGAATCTGCAAACAGGAAATGACATCACATCAGCCCTCTGCAAACACACAACAGCTGTCAGATATATTAAAGACCACGTCAGTCTGGCAAATGCAGAAAAAAAAAATTTGAAGTTAATATTTTCTAGAGAAGAGACTGTACCACTGAAACGTACACTGCGAAAACAGAAATGTCACACAAAATAACAAGAACTCAATACAAGACATCAACTCCACGGCCTGCCAGCCTGAAAATGGACAAAACAACAGATTAAGGGCTCATCTTGGCATCATTTCTGGCAGGGCACGTGTGAAAAAGGTGTCAGATCACGTCAGTCACATCCTGCAAGGGGATTTTAAGTTTTAATTTGTATCAAGTTACCAAACATAAGTCCATCCTTAAAGTTGATTTATACTTACTGTTAACTGCCACAAAGAGGTATTGATTGTGAATGTATATCAATGAGGAAGAACCCACAGCCAAGGGGGGGTGGGGCAGGGGGGTGGAGTATGCTGCAGAATATATTACTGTCTTAATGCATTTCAGTCTGCCTTCGTAATCTTCACACATCCATCTCTGGCACCATAAGCCTGTATTTTAATGGAGCACTTATTGCTATTTTTTTTGAATTACCACATTATGACCAAAATAATCCTGGCAGTTAACAATGGGCAAGGTCATGGACCTGCTTGTCACATTAGCCACGTGCTAACCCCACTAGCCTGAGGTCTAGCTTTCTGGATCTGTCACCTTTTTTTTTTACTCTCTCTCTCTCTCTCTCTCTCGCTCTGTATTTTTCTCTCCTTTTCTCTCCTTCAGCAGAAGGGGGGTGATTGATACAGAAGCCCACCTATAGACAGCATCTCCCAATCTATATATGTTTAATCTATGTATAACTCATAGACATATGTCTACACATCATATCAACAAAATTCCACTGAGAGAAGAAAAAGTGACAGAAGGTATTAAAAAAAAACAAACAAACAGACGCCTACGAGAGAGTCCCATCACACTAGAAATATGAACATTTTGTAATGAGCGCAGAGAGAAAAAAGCAGGCCGGGCCGCCGTATTTAGCCGGCATCGATTGTTACTCGATCTGGGGAGAACCACAGGCTGTTAATGTGTTTTATGGCCGCGGAATACAATAATACGGGGAAGGCATCCCTGCTCTCCATTCACATGATATTGGAGTCCTTGGGAGGAGAGATATGGATCAATAGGGATTGAATTAAAACGCAGCAGGAGATGCGAGCCGGTAACTGGACCCGCACGCTCATGGCAGGGTAATGCCATGTTTATCAAGAATTAAACTGGAGTGGCTGAAGCTCTGTCAGGGCGAATGTGGGACAGTGGCTCTAGTACCTCAAGACGGACGGTTAGGGCCCGACACCCTTCCCCCAGGCCCCCCTACTCCGAACACCTCCCCCGGCTGAGCTCCACCGCGGTGGAGTGGAAGAGCCGCTCTCTCTCCCTCGCAGGCCCTTGTCCATCTGCTCCTGGGCACGCGTTAACAAGGAATGCAAGATCCCAAGCCCTACTCCTAGAGGCTGGGGGCCCGGATCAAAGCCCGGTCCCTTCGGAGGGCCGCTCTTAGGTCTCGGACGATGTTGGGAGGGGCCGGGGTCGGGTGGGGATGGGGGCGGGGGTGGGAGTGAGGGGGGGATTGGTGAGGAAATAGTCAGTTAGAGGACAGGACTGGACTTGAATGTTGATGTCGACTTTGAAAAGGAGAGCAGAGGAGAAAATTGGAGCATGACCGAGGCAGGGCATTCGCTCGTGTCACGGGGGGCGCAGGGGGCTGGTGGAGTGATTACGCAAGCGCACCGACACCGAAACCCAGATCCGACACAAACGCTATGGTCCAATTACAAATACATTTAAGGCCCCACTGCCATTATTAGTCTTGTGTTTTTTTAGTTGTACATAAAGAGCAATTCTCTGCATTAGCACCAAGGACGATTAAAAAATATATACATTGACCTAAATTTTTGGTGCCCCTGGCATTAACTCGCCAAGTGAAAATGTACTGAAATGCATCCATTGTTTCTCTAATAAAGACGTACATCACTGTCAGAGGGTGCAGAAAAGTAAATGTCATGGCTGGGCACGCAGATGCTGGATTATATGGTTTCACTGGTTTTGACACTTCATCTCCCATTCAGGAAATCTGAACATGCATCCATCAGCCCAGGAAATTTTGATCCCGAAATGAGCGAAACCTCATCACTAAATTGGCTCGCCGTTAATGTATATTTTAACTCTGGCGCGTCGACAGCCAGTCGCGTTTCCCGGGATGGACCGGATCTTCGGGGAGTCGCATCTGATGCGGCATGCACGCGTGCCAACCCGCAACGTTTGAAGTTCAGAAGACACGTAAACCTGCCCGGGCGTCTCTGCCAGCCAGCTTCGGAGGAACGAGACATGGGGGGGGGAGGGGGAGGAATAAAAGCTTCTGGAAAAGCTGGGGATTATATTACTAGCTTAATGCAGTGGCGGGTAGCTCACGGCTTCCTTCGAAAAAGACTCGCTTGCCTTCGCAGATTGGCCATTCCAGCAAGTAGCGAAGTAAGTATCCTTACACATGAAGGGGACGAGACCCAAGACACACCTGTAAAACATGCCCTCCTCAGGCAGCGAGCTACCCGGGAAGACAGACCGCTTGTGAGGCCCAGAGATAACATGGGAGGGTCCTGCGGTAACGACGAGCCAGGGAGGGAAAGCGGGTGGAAAACTAGGTGCGGCGACTAGCTTATAATGCTCTGTCATTTTAAACCCTCTTCTGCACACTTGTCATCACCAGGGGTTACTGTTGGACTTGTTCTGTTGGAGTGTTATAAACCCCACCCCATCCCGGGGCTGGGGGGGCAACATAATATTTACATGAAATGTGGATGAAAATATGGAATCAGTCGTCAAATGGAATTATAGAAATTATTTTTCATGGGAGCCAAGGCAAAAATCCCCCTTAAATAGGGTTTAGAATCTCCTGTGGTTATCAAACAGAAATTTTCTTCCCAGTTTTATTGAACTCCTCGTAAAATCTCCTGAAAATCTCCTAAAATGACAAAAACTCCAGTTACCGTGGTGCTGGATCTCACATCAGCTTCTCCTCTCTAGCTCAGTGGCCCACACTAAATATGATGCAACGTCTTGGTTCGAATGTGATGTAATCGTGCCAGCGAGCATGTGGCCATAATCGCATCCTGAGCGATATATTTACCGGGAAGCTTTTTTTAATGGCCGCTTAGCTAAAATACCCCAAATCTGCAAGGTTGACCTCGATAAGTCCCGTTTAAGGCAACCTGTTCCAGAACTGTCTCCCAAATTAGAATCGGGGCTGTGATAAAAGAGCAGGAGAATGAGGAAGACAAGGTGGCAAACAGACAGACAAACAGATAGACAGGCAGACAGACAGACACACACAGAGGCAGATCGATAGATAGACAGGCAGACACACAGGCTGATCGATAGATAGACAGGCAGACAGACAGACACAGGCAGATAGATAGATAGACAGGCAGGCAGACAGACACACACAGAGGCAGATCGATAGATAGACAGGCAGACAGACAGACAAACAGGCAGATCGATAGATAGACAGGCAGACAGACAGACACAGGCAGATCGATAGACAGACACACACACAGGCAGATCGATAGATAGACAGGCAGACAGACACACAGGCAGATCGATAGATAGACAGACAGACACACAGGCAGATCAATAGATAGACAGGCAGACAGACAGACACACAGGCAGATCGATAAATATACAGGTATACAGACAGACAGACACACAGGCAGATCGATAGATAGACAGGCAGACAGACAGACAGACACACAGGCAAATCGATAGATAGACAGGCAGACAGGCTGATCGATAGATAGACAGGCAGACAGACAGACACAGGCAGATAGATAGATAGACAGGCAGACAGACAGACACACACAGAGGCAGATCGATAGATAGACAGACAGACAGACAGACAGACAGGCAGATCGATAGGTAGACAGGCAGACAGACAGGCAGATCAATAGATAGACAGACACACACACAGGTAGATCGATAGATAGACAAGCAGACAGACAGACACACAGGCAGATTGATAGATAGACAGGCAGACAGACAGACACACAGGCAGATCAATAGATAGACAGACACACAGGCAGATCGATAGATAGACAGGCAGACAGACAGCGAAACAGACAGACAGAGACATCTGTCTGTAACCCATTACGGTATTTCCCCCCACGTAAAAAAGAAAAAAAAAACTTATTAAAGCACCATACATAATTAATGCCCATCTTAAGCCAAGGCTCAATTAGTTTTGGGGGGCTTTCACATCTCTTAAAGCGAAGCAGTCGCGGATGATAAGAGAGTCCTCGTCACTTCTGTGAGGCATCACCTCATTACGGCGTCCCACAATCAATTACAGGGGGCGGGGGGCGGGCATGTAGCCCCACTCAGTCCCTAAT